GTCTCTCTCCCAGCTGGCACATGGCAGAGGGGGAAGGACTTTGCCCTTGGCAAAGCGCCGGCGAAAACGGCTGACGGTGGGGATTTGAGCCCCGGCGACTTTCCCCGGGGGTGGGCGAGCTGAAAAATGATGATTTTATTTTTTATTATTATTTTATTTTTTTTTTTAAAGATGCTGCCGGAGATTCCCTTTTAAAGCTTCCCTTCCTTGGGAAGCCAAGTGCCCGCCGTGGGTTGATCCCGGCGGTGCCGGCAGCCGAGCCAGGGGTGTGCCGTGGGTTCCCACGTCCCGGCGCCTTTCCCGGGGGTGGGAAGGAGAGGGGGGGTGAGGGGGGGGGAAGGTTTGGCAGACGAAAGGAGCCGGGAGCCAGCCCCTTGTTCCCCGGCACCGGTTCTGCCCGTTCCTCCGGCTCGGCCGGGCCCCAGGAAAACCGGCGTCTCCCCCGGCACCTCCGGGGTTGGGTGATTTCCACGCGGGGCCACGCGTCCCCGGGGAACGGGAGGAGAGGGAAGGCGATGGAGGGCGAGGTTTCACCCCTCTCCCCATCCCACAGCATGGCCGGACCCTCTCCCACCCTCCCCTCTCGCCCTTTTGGCCATTTGCATAACTAATCAACGTCTTGGCAACCCGCTCGTTACCACCGCGGTAAAATATACGGCAAAGCCTCGCTCGGCGCTGGGGAGCCACCAGTTTTGAGTAAGAGTCACCCAAAGAGCAGGGCTGGCAGAGGTGGGGGAGCTCCCCCATTTATTTAAGGCTAAACCTTAAATAAATCCCATGGGAAACCCCATTCCCAGCAGGAACGGGGACCCCAAAACCCCTTTTCTGGGTGGCGTCGGGATGGGATGCGGCTCGAGGTGTCCCCGGCGCCGGCAGAGGAAGGCCCCTGGCTGAATTTGGCAGAGCTGCCTCAGTGCCACCCGCCGGAGAGGAGGGATAATCCCATTTCAGGCATTCCTAATAAAAAACTTACTAAATTTGTCCATCCCGTGGGGTTCCCCTGGTTTTTTAACCCCCCCTCCCCCTTCCCCCCCCAACCCGGGTCCGGGGCATCTCCGCCAAAGCATCGGGGGTGATGATGATGATGATGTTGATGGGATGGAGGAAGGACTGGTCTCATTTTCCTGCCCTCACCGGGCGATGTCCTGGGTTAATCCACAGCGTTCCCGATGCTTCCCCTGAAAACATTCTGGATCCGGGATGGGATGTTTAACAGCCAAAACCACTTGGGAACCAGTTGCCTGGTGGATGCTGGTGGTGGACGGAGGAGCAGGAGGAGGAGGAGGAGGATGGGAGGAAGGAGGCATCCACGTTAATTAAATTCCCTCCTCCTCCGTGTTTTTTGCCGGGCCCCGTTGCCCGGCGGTGCCAAGCTGGGCCAGGCCGAGGGGGTTTTCAGCCCTCGGCGTCGTCGTGCGAGGGTGGAAATTGGGGGAAAACCAGTTCCAGGCACCAGTTTTATCCTTTTTATTCCCGTTGGGAGTCGCGTCGCTCGGAATCAAAGGTCGGATCCCGGCGGCCTCCGGCTCCGCATCACACCGGGCCTTTTCGGGAAGAGACGAGCTCCGGCAAATATCGATGTGGGGTCCGTGGTGGCACGTTCCGTGTTTGGTTTATCCATCCCACCGGGAATTATGTGGGGCTGGGGCTCCTCGGGTCACCCCCACCCCCGCAAATCCCTTTGGAAAAGAGTTTTCTCCCGGGAAACCTTTGGGAGCTTTGGAGTTTGTCGAAGTTTGGCCGGCAATTCGGCCGGGAACGGGCTTGGAAAAGCTCCAAAGCTGGAGCATCCCAGGAGCATCGCCTGGGAATGGCTTCGGGGGGAATTCTCTTTCCCGCTCCCT